AGATCCCATTTTCAATAAAATGGCGGTCTTACCTTGACTTGAAGATGAAGTCCATTTGCCTATCCTTCTGGACAAACATTTCTATTACTTTTTTGTAAAAGTCCTCCTTATGTTCTTGTAGTTTCAAAAGTCTATCATAAATCTAATCCATAGATTTATGATAAAAAAATTATAAAAGTAGGGTAGACATGTGGATATTATCCGGCTGAACAAAACGTGCATTTATCTAACAGGTACGTTTCCCACAGATCTTATTTCGAGCTATTTTCTAAAATCCTCTGGAGAAATCTCATTGCTTTTTTGTGCTTACTTCCTGGTTTTAGGACGCGCCACTGCAGCTCTCTCGTCTCCTCTTCACACACCACACTTTTCGCGGCACACGTACTTACAGCCAATCAGCTCTGAATGATTTGAGATGACGTATGGCGGGGATGGTAGCTCCATGCCCCTCTGGTCATTATTTTTTTGCCACACACATTTCATTACAAAATACTCTGAGCATGCGCAGTGTAGTTTTTACAGTCAACGTTCACTTCACAGCGAGAGGAAGGGGCATAATCAGGTTTTGTCCCACATGGCTCTAAACAGCTCAATAGGCACACACTGTGACTGTAGACACACTAATTAGAAGAACACAGACTAAAACAGCAATGTACAGACGAATCAGATGATTAAACATGATCTTAAAATATATTTTATATATTTTTTTATTTATTTTTTTGCATTTTTGTAATCATTATTTGTAATACTTTCTGCTGACACTAGGTGGGGCTGTGCCTGACCAAACACAGATGAGCTCACATACATGCACACTGTAAACTCATGCTGACTTTAGCTTATACTACAAGGCAGTGCCACAATCCAGAGATGGAGCACTCGAGTCCTGTACTCGGACTCGAGTGCCGATTTTCGGGACTCGTGACTCGACTCGGACTCGCGCACTGATTGACGCGACTCGGACTTGGACTCGTGAATTCTCGCGCACGATGACTTGGACTCGGACTCCGACTCCTGAAGTACGCTGACTTGGACTCGGACTCGGACTCGTGAATTATCGCGTACGCTGACTTGGACTCGGACTCGGACTCGTGAATTTTTCTGCCCATGATGACTCGGACTCGACTTGTACATTGACGCTCCGACTTGGACTCGGACTCGGACTCGAGCAAGTTTTCTATGGAGTCTGATCTATCCTGGCGTGTGCACCGGCTGCGAGGCGAGTTCACGTACTGGGCCCCGCTATTCCAGTCTAAAGATGTCTAGAGACACACCCCGCATCGTGCTGTATGCTTTCACACATTCTGCTTCCACATTGGAAAAGAGCAGCGCAAAATGCTCTATGTGGAAACAATATTGAAGAGAAGGCTCCGTAACACATTACTCTAAACATCGAGTTCAGACATATAGGCCATCTAATCAATACATAAAGATTCAGCCGATAACACGAAAGCACATGGCTACTTAACATGCAGAATGACGTCATTTTGCATGCTAAGTAGCCATGTGCTTTCTGGGGCTAAATCTTTATCAGTAAACCGATTTAACCGGTAAAAGTTCCTTCAAAATAAGAGTCCCGATCTTATTACTATCAAAATAAAAGTGCAAAACGAAAACTTTACCATAGGAAAATATTGGCATACAAATATAATCACTTCTCTAAAAGGTAACTCATTTTAAACATAGTTTATTTATATATAATAATAATAATATTAATATTAGTAATAAGCTTTATATTTGTATAGCACCTATTACAAGAATTGTAGCCAAACTGGCTTCACAGCAGTTCAATAGGCAGATTAGTATAACATGACAGGATAAAAGCAATGTAGAGGAGCAGCTACATTTCAACACATATATCCACGAAGATTAATACATGAAGACTTGTGACTCGGACTTGACTTGGACTCTTCTTAGGTGACTCAGACTTGGACTCGGACTCGAACACAGGTAATGATGACTCGGACTCGGACTCGACTCGGACACTCCTTGGGTGACTCGGACTTGGACTCGGACTCGAACACAGGTAATGATGACTCGGACTCGGACTCGACTCGGACACTCCTTGGGTGACTCGGACTTAATCTCGGACTCGACTACGACTCTCCCTTGGTGACTCGGACTTGGACTCGGACTCGAAGAGTGGTGACTCGAGAGTGACTTGGACTCGTGAATTGGTGACTTGACTACAACACTGCCACAATCATGGGGATCAAATACATTTACTATTTTTGCTTCGCACACATAAATAATACACAAACATCCCATCTGGAAATACGTCAAACTTGAACTGTTGACAGTCGTCTCTGTCTGGTGGACCTGAAAAGTTTCCTCAAAATGAGTTACGCATCTTTATTCCTGGTGCACATTTACATTTAAAAAAAAAAAAGACAGTTTCCTATTCCATATATTGATCACAATTCATTTTAACATATTTATCTAATGGATTTTGTTGGCATTCTGCAGGTAAGGGTTGCATAACATTCTCATGAATATGCCATATTTGAGGAATGCTTCAATGCTTTTCTTTAAATTTGAAACCAACATTTGAAAAAATCAAGAATGAACAGATTAGAGTTTGGTGGTCAAAGGTCAAACATGAAGGTCACTGGTTCTTTAGGTAAAATAAGATAACACAAAAGACCATTTTGCAAAGAGGCAGCCCACAGTTCCTCCCCTCTTGCTCGGACCACTGCCATCCCCAAACCAACCTCCATTTGGGTCTCAACTATACACCTGGAGAGATTTGTGACTGCATCTTTTGAGAGTATGACTCACACAGTTGCACATGGGGAAAACATTACCAGCACAGCTGCTGTTGAAGACAAAGTGATTTACATTTTGGAGATACATGCATCTGAACTGCGATTTGATAGGTTGGCGGAGGCAAACAACTAGGGGGGGGGGGGCTTCTTGAATTTCTATTAGGAGTGATGGTGAATGATGAAGACATTTTGCTTCAATAAAATGTTACATTCTGGAGAGATTGTCCATCAACTTTGACGTTTGAGCAGTAAGAGTTATTGCTGAGTCCGTCTCCTCAAGTCTCATCCTGCACTCTGGGCTTTGGTTCACCTGCCAGGGGCCATAGCTCGATAAGGAATCCCCCGATGGAGCCAAGTCTCTGTAAAAAGGGACCTAACCGTTCGGATTTCCAGTTACCGGGTTAGCATTAGTTAGAGTATTATTTCATCAATCTTACGAGTGGACATTAGACAGGAGATTACACCCATGTAACACCAATATTACCCCCATATTACACTGATATTACACCCATTTTACACATGGACACAGTCTGTCAAATGACTCTTTCCCCCAGGATACAGAAACCATTCAAGGGTTAGTGTACCATAAGATATGTGTTTAGAGACTTGATGTGGAGCGTCTTCAGCACTTTTAAAATGTTCTCTGTGTGTTTGGCGCACTATCTTTATTTGTAAGTACTGTCAGGTTGATGCATGTCTGCCCTGCATGTTGCACAATACTTGGACAACACATTTTCTGAAATGTCTTTGTCTGTTGTGCGGTTTTCAGAATATCATTGAAGATGTTGGTGAGGTTTGGAGCCCAGTAGTCTGGTGGAGGCCCCGGCTATTAGGAAGGGTGGTGAAAGGAAGTGGAGGTTTGATGGTCTTGAAGAACTACAAGAATTTGAGAACATGAGGAAGTGATTTCAGAGTACTGATCCAAGGACATTGCAATAATTTCAGATCCTGAGTATATACAGTATGTCTTTCATTTAAAAACTCTTATTCAAAAAACAAATGATTAACAATGAACATACTCCTGCTGGCTAGGATCTCAGACTCCAAAGAGTGAATCCACTGTGAATGGAATAGTGCAGGAAGAGGCTGCTGCACTGATTTCTAGGTTAAATCCTTTAAGCCCGCGTCACACTGTCCCGAAATTGACACCAGATGGACACACGATAAAGGAAATGTGTCATCTTCGTCTGATCATCGGTTCCATCGGGGCGAAAAATGCTCAATGGCACCGATGATCAGACGAAGATGACACGATTTGACAAGATGCCCTCACGGGTGCCTTACGAAGGGCAAAATGGACACACAAATTCAACACGAAAATGAACCTTCGCAAGGTCCTTTGGCATGCCAAAGATTTTGCCACCGCTCACGAAGTTGCTGCCGCAGCCTGAGAAACTCCACCGGCGGTCATACGATGGCTTAAGATGCCCTCACGAATGGCCCGATGTTGTTACGATCAGAGCCGAATTTGAACATTTCCTTTATCGTGTGTCCATCTGGTTGTTTTATTGCACAACAAAATAATGTAAACATATTATGTAAATAACCCAATTTGTGTTCTGTGAAACTGAAAAGGATATTACATTGTTTTTGTTACTTTCGTTGCAGTTATATGTCTTAAATGTAATTTAGGTTAACTTCCTGTTTTATTTAGATGCTTTTATTTTGAAGGCGAGTTGACAGGAAGTTGTTGTTGCTATGGAAACAACATGACGGAGAAAACTTAATATCTTCTACATATAAAGACGGATAAAGTAAAGAACAAAGTCTGAAGATATCAGTACAGTATCATAGTACTTTAATCATTCATCATCATTGTTTGTGTTACTTTCGTTGCAGTTGTATGTCTTAAATGTAATGTGAATGTTGCCTTTGTGTGTGGTTTGGGGCCATCTTCGTGCGAAATTCACAATTCCATATTCGTGTGTCCATCTGGTGTCAATTTCGGGACAGTATGACGCGGGCTTAAAGCATTGTCAAAGGACAAAGAGCTGGTGTAATACATCAGGTTTCTGGCTGATTGCTCTTTTGGTCAACTTCTCCATAAAGTCCTGATAGTTCTGTGTAGATACTGAACGAGGTTCAAGGCTTGTTCCTGGCTTCTGGAATACAGGAATGATTTCATGTGTGTATTTGTTTTTGTCATTTTGTTATTTTTTCAAGAGGTTTTTGTTGCTGTTAAATTCAGATTATATATTTTTTGTTCTGACGACTCATGATGTTCTTTTTCTCCTCCAGGATCCGGCCCATCCCCATGCACCCAGGTCAAAGCCAGCAGTATGTTATAAAGCCCAAATACTACCACACACACACTACACACACACAGACACGTGTCCAATCCCAACCTGAGAGGCCCATCCCCCTGACCGTGGGACACAACCCCATCCACGGTGAGTAAATCCCCCCACACATCATCTTTAATTATATTTTGGAAAAGTCAAAGTGTAAAATACTATGAATGCATCCTCCTCAAAATCAACTTTCAGAGACCTGATGCTGCTTTGGGTCAATCACAGTTGATCACTAGTGACCAGGTGCCCATCTGAAACTTGGCTTTTATCCAATGGCTGTTTAGAAAACAAGAGAGGGTTATCATCATTAGCTGTGTGAGATTTGCCAGATTATTTTTTGTAATCGTGCATGGAGGTGAATAGGGCTTAACGTGATACTACAGCGAAACTTACAAGAAATGCCAGGCTCATAAAGATCTAAGGATACATTCCTTGTGAAACCAACCAGGTAACAGCGGCTGAAATAAAGAACGTTTACACTCTGCAGCTCTCAGTCACACAGGGCAGCAGTCTGTGGCAGTTTTTCCAAACTCAGATTGTAAAAAATATGGAAATGTTCACGAACGATAGTTTGTTGGAAGAAATTCCAATCAAACCAAATATATTCAATTCCATCACTTGCATTGTTTGTTTGCAAATGTAAAACATGTTTTAAAGCAATTCATTATACTCAGGAAAGTGTTAAGATTACACAAAGTATGAACATTAGTAGGTTTCACTATGGTGGGTTTAGGAAAAGCAGGTTTTATCTGCAAGTTTCCCAGAGTGACAATCTAGAAGGGAAGGTATTGACGGAAACTCTGCAGCAATACACTGAAATTATTTATCAGATGTTTATAAGATATAACAAATGCAATTGTTTAGGTGTGGTTAAGATGGGAGTGACCTCATGGATGTGACTAGCCAATATCTACCTTTTAATATAAAAGCCAAATAGGGTATATGTTATAAATCAATGATAAACTATTGTATAGTTTGGGAAGGTCAATGATAGTTTCATACAGTATGTTACATGTGTTACACTGTATATGCAGTATATATATATATATATATATATATATATATATATATATATATATATATATATATATATATGAAAGTGAGGGTGGTTTCAAGGATGTGCAGTGGGGAAGGAAGATAAAGAAGTGTATGATTAATGATCTGAGATTAAAGACAAAAACACCAGTGAGTTTATGAATTGTGATTATGACAACAAGCTTTTCCAGCACTCTTATTTTGGTTTGTTGTGATAATTAAAAAAATATCTTCTTCTGATCCATCACACGTTTGGACTTTTGATGCATTTCTCTCAAAATGTAAACCTCCGTGATTTTAATAGTTTTTAAAGCTGTGCATTGTGAATCTGACAGAGCTACATGAGTGCATTGATAACTCCATTCGTAGTACTTTTAAGAACATATAGTTCTATATGCTTAGCATTGTGTTATTTAATCTTCAAAAAAAGAACATCTTCTAAGATTGGAATTGCTGCTCATTTTATAGTTAATTATCCGTGGCTCTGTTTTCAAAGTCAAACTTTGTGTATGGCGAGAAATCCTGTGAATCGAGGAAAAAAGCATGATATATTCCTGGAAGTAATCACTTCACAACCTGTGAAAATGTACATCCTTAATGTATACACATACACATACACATGCCACACACAAACGCACACACTACACATCACATCTGCTCTAACACTACAAGGGTATGGACAGAATATGGAGCTTGCAATTGGGCAGTTAGAGGATTTGTTGAAATTGCAGCTCCAGGGGTAATGGCATAAAGACTTAAGCATTGCCTGCTGCTCGGGGCTGTCCAGAATGAGTTATTAGTCTCATTTTCTGTGGGCAATTTCAGACAAAGGCAGAGTGTGAGAGTTAGGACAAAAGAAGAGATGGAATGAAACAAGTGTGTCATCTGGGTGAGAATCACTCGCCCAGTTGTTGCTGAAACAACAGGCCTGGATGAGTCTGAGTGGGGGGAGGCTGTGGAGAGCCGAGCCTCTCAATACCTGTAATATACCCCCCCCCATTAAAGTCTCCCCGGTACTCAGTCCCCCTCCCACGGGAGACACAGTATCTCCATTTACTGTTTAAAGTGAAACCCAGTGCTAAATAGCTTGAATAGACGATAGATAAATGGAATGGACAGATCACTGCCAGCTACCTTCAACAGGTGACTTTAGGTTTAAGGTTTCAAGTTTTAATGGTTTTGCACAATTTAATAATACACAAACATAACCGATAACAAATGACAAACAGTGAAGGAAAAGGCAAAAAACCAATTGGGCTTATTTAAAGCCTCTACCTAAATAATGTTAAAAATCTAAATGATATAAAACACAAGATCAGTATACCAACCATTTCTTCAATTCAATAAAAAATGCACACTTTAAGAATACTAAACATTAAATGTTAACAAAATAACACACATGAAAACCAGGCATCATACAGTGGTCAAATGAGTTTTTAAGTATTCCATATAGATTTTATGATTTACGGAATAACACCATTAATACACTGTATCCCCCCCCACCTTCAGGTATGTGAGGTTCCTATGACACGTGCCATTGGCTTGTGGAATTCACATTTTATGAGACACATTTAATTTCCGAGCTGCTCAAACCATTTAAAGAGAGAAAGGTTTGGACCAGCTTTGGCTGGCGGTTGATCTGGTACAGATCTGATGGGTCATCAGCGGCTATAACTCAAGTCGTGCTTGGTTATTATGGTCTGTCATACATTCAAGGCCCAACTCCTGCAGACTCGCCAGAATGCATCTCTGAATAAGTCAATATTTTCGAAGAATCTGCAGACTGCAGTAGAGTGGTTGTGCCTCTGGAGCGACTCGGGATATTAAGGGGGGGGGGGGGGGGGGGGGGGGGGGGGTTTCTGCAGACTGCACCGTGGTGACGCCTGGTTCTACTGTAGACTCAAGCAGACCCAGACATGGCCACACTGACCCAGGACCAGTTTCAAAATAACCTTTTCAGCCCAGTTCAGCTAGCATGTACATGCCAAAGAAATGAACAGACAACAATAGGAAAAAGGAAACAAAGATATATATAGAGGGGAGACTATAGCCACCATTATTTCTATTAATTTCTATTGTAAACACTGGTCTGGAAAGTGAAGAGAAATCCCTGATTTGACGTGAAGCTTCTAAATTATTATTTAGCAAAGGCATTTTTATTTCATTGCATGCATTATTTGAAGTATAGTTCATGGCCTACTGTGGCCTTAGACACTCTGAAAGTTAACGTATTGCACTCGGTTTCCTCTCCAAATGAGAGGATTTGCCAGTTGAACACATGTCCCTATGTCCCTGCCCCTCACACCAAACTTACAAGGAATATTGTGATACTGTTTACTATAGCTGATGTCTTATTGCATTTTTCTCTGATTATAATTTTCCAATATTGTGTTTTTAAGCGTTATCATTTGTTAGAAATGATACTCCAGACATCTACGCGTCATCTAAGTACAATATCAACCCAGTATGACTACAAAGTACTTTCCACATGAAAAATATCAGATGAAAGTAGGCTGTTTGGTTATGTGTATTAAAATAGAGGTTCAGTAGCATATTTGATGGAGTCTGAATCTAGTGTCACATAGAATAGAATAGAATCCTTTATTGTCATTATACAAGTACAATGAGATGAGTAGATCCGCTTATCAAATTGTAAACCTTTTGAATCCTTTATTGAATCTATTTAGTTACAGTTTACATTTTTGACTATGTCTCCCTTGACTGCACGTCAGAGCTTATATGTTATCCAAGAGGTGTTGTATTGGCTTCAGTTAAGACTCCAGTGGCTTCCCCACTTGATATTATCACCTCAATAAACAGATGAGTGTGCAGATCATTAGCTACAGCTCATATTGACGGCCACTTGAAACATTGGTCATTTCAAACAGTTAAAGCAATGGTCAGCAACAGCTGAAAATTAACCTACCAAATTATTTGACGCCTTGTTGTCCCTTGCTTACAGTATCTGAGAGTGGGGAGAGATAAAGACCAGCTACTATCAGAGCTCGGGGAATCTGGGTATTTTGGACAACCGGGAACTGAATCCAAAATCCAACCAGATTGCAGCCCCAGGTCTAAATAGTATATCAATGTGGGCCTTCCCTCCCACAGCAGGTCCGTGTATCTACAAATAGCTCTTAAACCACTGAGCCTAAATTAATGGGAATACCATGGCTGGTTCCTGCTCAGCGTGCAGTCAGTGCTACTCTTTGTGAAAGTAGCAGACATGTTTGCTCTTCTAAATCAGGAAGCTGCAGCCTTTCCTTCAGCCTGTCTCACACGACAGACAGCCTGTCAGCAGCTGGCTATAGTGCCACATCTGGGAAAGTTATTCCCCGTCTCCCCGCAGCTATTCCTCCGCTCTCCCACACTGCTGAAACACCCTCAGACAAATGTTAATAGTCTTGGCTCTGACTGAAGGTTTGGGCAGAGAAGATCACCTCCCATCACCACCATGACCAAATAACTGTTCCATGGTGGTATTGATAGCCTTCCACTTATATTGCATTGCATTCCTATTGAATTGTCGAAATCACTGTGAACAATTGAAAAGTTATATAATCAAAATCATTGCAGCTTTGCGTCTTTCTTTGTTTTAAAAAACCTGTTGCCAACATTACTTACAAATTAAGTGAATGTCGACAGCTCAATTAAAGATTGAAATGTGTGCCTAGTAGCACATCATTTAGCCTTTAGCCGCTTTAAAAAAAAAAATTATTATAACTTTTTCTTTACTTTAATACTTTTTAATGCATGTAACATATGTTACATTAAGCTGTCTGTGGCTCTTTTTCTGCTGTACCAACGTACATTTCCCCTCTGTGGGACTAATAAAGGGATTCTGATTCTGATTCTGATTCTAACCTCACAAAGGTGTAGAAATCTAACTCCTCCAGATCTTTTTAATGTTCAAACTTATAGTCTTCGGCCCCAACAAAGCTGACTCAAGTGACATCACTTTGCACCGCTGCCTCTGGAGACACAGAGGGCTTTAGTTTTTTTACATATTAGATTAGAGTACACCTTATTGTAATTGTGCATGGTATGGGTCGTTGTACAAAATG